CGACGCGGGGCTCGAACTCACGGACCGCGAGATCACGACCTGAGATGAAGTCGGCCGCTCAACCGACTGAGCCACCCAGGCGCCCCCCCGTGGGGCTATTTAAAATTCAGTTCACTAAAATGGAAAATCCAGTTTCATGTTTCATGTGCTCAAGAGCTCAGATGAGGGGGTCCCAGTCCCCCTCCGTATCCCCCTGGGATAGTGTCTCTTATACTGGGCCTTGGAACAGCATTTCCATCTTTGCAGCAATTCTGTTCGAAACTGCTGGTCTAGACCCTTGCTACTCAAACTCTGGTCCATGGGTGGGCAGTGCCGGCGTGTGCCGGGAACCGGCTGGAGATGCAGAGTCTGGGTCTCATCTCAGACCCACCGACCGAGAACCCGAATCTTAACGAGATCCCCAGTGTTATGTACGCACACTGAAGTTGGACAAGCGCTGGTCTAGACCACACGCCTTACCTCTCCTGGGACCAGTAGTCGAGGCAGGACTGGACACTTTGAGGGCTAAAAATGTCCACTGACTGTACCCCTGATCTGCTCCCTTGCTGACATCGGACCCCTTTCCCTAATTTTTCAGACCCCTATCCCGTCAGGAACTTGAAGGTAGAGGCTCAGACCACCAGCTCCGTCACCCTGATCTGGGAGGAGCCAGATGACCCTGACTTTCAGAACTACGTCTACTGCATCCAGTGGACTGGGAGTGAGACGCAGAACACAACCAACACCAGCTTCGTGGTGGACGGACTGCAACCCGGGTCCTTGTATGAATTTGCCGTGTGGGCAGAGAAAAATGGAGTCGCCAGCTCCGTGACAATTTGCAACGCCACCACAGGTGAGTGCCACCTGCTGCAGTTCTCTCTCTCTCCCCTTTAAAAAACGTTTATTTAGGGGCGCCTGGGTGGCTCAGTCGGTTGAGCGGCCGACTTCGCTCAGGTCGTGATCTCACAGTCTGTGAGTTCGAGCCCCACATCTGGCTCTGTGCTGACAGCTCAGAGCCTGGAGCCTGTTTCAGATTCTGTGTCTCTCTCTCTCTCTGACCCTCCCCCATTCATGCTCTGTCTCTCTCTGTCTCAAAAATAAATAAACATTACAAAAAAATTTAAAAAAAAAAAACGTTTATTTATTTTTGAGCATCTCTTTGGGTCACATTGACCAGGAGTTGAAGAAAGAACATCACAGGTTCTGAGCTGGGATCAGTCAGGGTCTGGGACCCTCTAGAATACAGACATTAAGACTAGGGGGTGTCTCTCCTTAGCCACCAGGACTGTGTAGGGAGCACAGGCACGTTGCCTCAACTGTGGGGACATTAGGTACCATGGAATGTGGACACTCCGACCCTCCGACTCTTCTTCTCCTGGTTCCCAACTGTATCACGGTCTTGAGAATGGAAGCTCAGGCCATCAACTCCATCACTCAGATTGGCAGGTGCCCCCTGGGCCCTGGCCTTTGGGACTACATTTATTGGGTCCACTGAACTGGAGACGGAGACAGAACTGAGACCCAACACTTATCCAAAACTTCAGTTTCACGGTAGAGGGACCCAAAACTGGGACCTTGTATAAATTCTCTCTGTGTGGGCAGAAAAGAATGAATTCTGTGCTGGTTCCAGACAAGAACCCCAGTAAGCCCCCCGATGACAAACATCAATGCCCACTCTCTCTTTTGGTGAGAGCTGAAGAACCAGCAAAGGTGGCACCACCTTTGGGTTCTGGGATCCAGCTACCGTCTTTACAGTCTCGCCGAGCCGTGCCCAAATCCTGAGTCCACAGGAGAGAGGTGGCCTTTTCTGGGGACAGGCCTGTCTGGGAGTCTGCGGCTGAGCATAAGGATGCAGGTGTCCCGTCCCTACCCCCAGGTTCCCTGTCTAGAAATGCTCTTTAACAAGGCTGGCTGCCCCAGGAGGAGGTCCGTCCGTGTGTTTTGGACTCTCGTGGACCAGGGAGAGGATATTCTGACCCTCTGTTCCTTCTGCCAGTCCCCAACGCAGTGACGAGCCTCAGTGTGCAGAAGCAGACCAACAGCTCCATCACCTTGAGCTGGACAGCTCCCCCGGACCCAGATCATCCTCTCTACACCTACGGGGTCTCATGGGTCAAGGAGAGCACCAGCGCCATTAGCATCCGGAACACCACAGATACGGGGATCATACTAACAGAACTGGAAGCTGGGAGCTTGTACATCATCACCGTCTGGGCAGAGAGGAATGAGGTCAGCAGTGACAACCGGACACTCACTGGAGCCACTGGTGAGACTCGTGCTGGTTCTAGACAGAGCCAGTACTATTGGGATGGGAGAGAGAGAAAGGGTTGGGGAGACTTTGGTGACCCCATGTAGCCTCATAGAACCTTGAGCTTGTAAGTCTGCCTTTTAGGAAGAGTCCGTCCTCTGCAGCCAGAACTTTCTAATTGCGAGGTCTGTCTTTGGGGATGAAGAGAGCCCCTGACCATCCAGCACCACCCCTCAGGAACCAGCAAAGCCAGAAGACAGAAGGGCACGGCTCATCCCAGTATACTACTGAACCCCAAGCAACCCAGCTCTCAGCCTATATGTGAAGGGTTCCAAGTGTGACAGGAGCCAAAATTACCCCCAGGAACTAGGTTCACTGTGTGTGCATGGAGCCTGGAACTGTTTAGTCTTCGGCTATTTGGGCTAAGAAGACTAAAGACAACAGCTCCGTCAAGAAAGAAGGGCCCGGGGGCACCTGGGTGGCTCAGTCGGTTAAGCGTCTGACTTCAGCTCAGGTCACGATCTCACGGTCCGTGAGTTCGAGCCCCGCGTCGGGCTCTGGCCTGATGGCTCAGAGCCTGGAGCCTGCTTCTGATTCTGTGTCTCCCTCTCTCTCTGCCCCTGCCCCATTCATGCTCTGTCTCTCTCTGTCTCAAAAATAAATAAAAC